TCCATCCATTTATCATTAAATTAGAGATTTATTATATTGACGTTTAAAAAAGAAATTATTCCCCTGCGAGAATAAAGTTTCTAATTAATCTGATATACATTTTTTTATTCTCAAATGGACGTTATAGCGTGTTAAGATAATACAAGGATTATATAAACTTTCAGATAATACTTTATATTTATAGCGAGATCCTTCGCAAAGGATAAGTGAGCTTGTATTAACCCTTTAATATACCTTCGAGTCCGTAGCTGAAGTTGTTCCGTTTTTTTTTGATCCGTACTTTGATTTTTAGCGTTGTAAAAATCGAGAACACGATTTATAACGATACATAATGAAACGCTTAAAACGAAAAATCGAAGAAAATTCGTTCGACAATTAAATACCGATAATTAAAACACAAAATTAATAAATAATGTTGCATATCTGTTTTTTTTTTTTTTTTCATAAATAAATTTGTGACGATTATACGAGGACAGTTAGAATATAAAAGTGTGATTTAAAGCTCTAGTCGAATATCGGATTAATAAATAATAACGAAATGGCGAATTCTGCTTGCCATTGATAGACAGATATCGATGAAAGATAACCGAGTTATGAAAAGAGCTTGTTTAAATTAAATGATCGATTTTCGAATAGCTCGTTTAGAAAACTTGGACTGGTATAGTTAATGAAGAAAATAGAATAAAAGAAAAATAAAAAAAAAAAAAAATAAAAATAAAAAAAAATGAATTCAAAATGTTCCAAAAGATGCAAGCTCAAAATAATGTCACGAATTATATTAAAGTGCCATCGTTTTCTTATGCATGTTCGAATCCTTGTATTACTTTGGTAAAATATATTATTAAAGAGTAAGTAAAAGATGTATTTCGACGAGTAACGAGTTATAGATAGTTTTCATTAACGAAGTTTCATTAATAGGCGATAGTCTATATAGAATATGATATGTAATAATATCATTTTCTCACATTTTAAGCCTTCAAAAAGCTTGAAGAGTTTGCAGGAGGAATATTCTTTTTTAATTTATAAAATTCATTTCGTAATCCATAATCCTTTTTCCTAGAGAATTTTAATGAGACGACGGTGTCAATAATCATCTTTTTTCTTTCATCTTTTATCAAAATTATCGTTGTCTTACTGCAAACCCTTCAATTTTAATTACTTCATTATACGATAACTCGTACGACATACAATTTTCAATATTACTGCAGTACAAATGGCCATAAAAGCAAACAGAAATTTCAAACTCGATAATTAAAACTCATCTCGAAGGCTTATGTTTGACGTTTCAAATACTCATTATCATTATTTATTTACTCGTTTTTTATGTGAATACTTAACACCAAATTTACATATTACAATCTCGGTTTCGTATCCCATTTTAATATACGAAAATACTTTTTCACTTGTAAAAAAAATTAAGGGATATGAGTAATAAACAAATTAACGAAATTTTACTAATATAAACAAAGTCTTGCATACGATAGATAGGTATAGTTTAAAAAGGAAGCTATACGAATAATTTAAAAAAAAAAGAAAATACAATTTTTCAAATAGTAGTTCATAATGTCAAAGTGTATCGAAACTTAAAACGATATGGAGATTACAACCATTCAAAGTCAAACACATATGCTTCGTACCAGACCACGATAGAGGATTGCGTTTTTTTTTATCATCCTTCTCCCATCGATGTTTGATCATTTTAGCTTGTTAAAACGAGGTCTTATATCGATATGGTGTGAAATGTATTAAATATGCATAAATTGTCAACGATCTTCGACCAACGCTAGCTTAATTAGTCCCAGTATTGCTGGATAAGCGAGATGAGATTAAGATTTAATAGACAACAAAAAGAAGGGAAAAAAAAAAAAAAAAAAAAAAAAAAAAAAAAAAAAAAAAAAAAAAAAAAAAA